CCCCATTTCTTATGCCTGGAATATTTCTAACACTTATTGTTGAAGGGTTACCATTTCTTCAAAACCAACACTAAGTTTTCTCTTCTTAATGAAGGCCACTTCAACCACAGAGACCATGTAGAAAGAGCAGGAAGTAGTAGCTGGACACCTAAGATGATAACTAAAGCTGGAAATGAATTTGAATTTTATTTCAGTTATCTGCCAGCTAAGGCGAATAGTACGTCCTATTAGTTTACATAAATTTCATTTTCTGTCACAAGAAAGCTTTCAAACTCCACTATTTACATTTAAATTTATTAAAATGAATTCATATTAAAAACTCATGGGGTTGACCTGGTGGCGTAGTGGTTAAGTTCACATGCTCTGCTTTGGCGGCCCGGGGTTCGCGGGTTTGGACTCCGGGCATGGACCTACACACCACTCATCAAGCCATGCTGTGATGGTGTCCCACATATATAAAAAAAAAAAAAAAAAGGAGGAATATTGGCACAGATGTTAGCTCAGAGACAATCTTCCTCAAGCAAAAAGAGGAAGATTGGCAACAGATGTTAGCTCAGGGCCAATCTTCCCCACCAAAAAAGAAAATTAAAAACATTTCTTCAGTAAGCCACATTTCAAGTGCTTATTAGCCATAAACTGAGAGTGGCTACAGTTTTGGAGAATGCTGGATAACACTGGCATCAACTTTAAAACAGTCCAGATATAGTTAGGATACTTCCCTATACAGTGCTTGATGCCTCACAGTGATGCAGAAACAGATCCTGTTCTTGCCCTCAGGGAGCATACGATCCATGTGAACACGACATACACATAAACGTACACGTGTATGAACACAGGGCTGACTGTAACTGGGAAGTACGTGGAAGCTTCCTAGAGAATACTTCTGAGCGGAATTTTTATAAAGAATAAACTTTTGATTGGGAAAGGGAGAAATCATTCCTCATTGAGGAACCAGCATGAGCAAAATTATTGGAACAAGAGAGTGCACATGAGGAAGCTAGTGTGCGTAAGCATTCAAGATGATAGTTTGAGCTATTGAGCTGTATTACGCAAACACAAACAACCCTCTCCCCAACCCCCCAAAAAGGGAATGCCCCAATTCTGTCTCAGCTAGTTATCCTTTCCCCTTGAAATTCCCAAAGGGAGAACTGGGACGCAAGATGTCATTGATTAGTTGGGTTCCTGCCAATTTGGCTTCCTGTGTTGACTTCTGATGAGGCTCGTTTGGAATAGGCAGCTTATACTGAAGGCCAGTGATAATCTCTCCTGTTCTCTCTCCACAAATCCAAATTTGGGGACATTTCCATACTCAGGCCAGCTGTTTTATAAAGTGAGCTGAAGTGATAGCGGCATACTTAGGCACACAGGTGAAGAAACGAGGTGACCTAGATGATCAGTCTCAGCGTATGGAAGAGATAGGAAGCAGAGGAGAGGGTTGTATGTTGGTGGTGCTCTTTTCCCTCACACAGTGACCTTGTCCATTTGTAATCATGCCCCAAGCAGTGTTCTAGCATTTGTCTATGTTTTATATATTTAACCGCCTCGTTGAATGCTCTTATATATTCTGTAAAGTCTAATCATCTGTTTACTCAGGTTTTCTATGTCGGTGATCGTGCAACCTGAAAAGGAAAAAAGTGGGGGGAATTTGTATCTTCCTCTTCAGTCTTTCTATCTTTATTTATTTTTTACTGTGTTATTGTATTGGCCAATACAATATTGCAGAGCAAAGTATTACCATAGTTTTTTGTTGTTGTTATAGCTGACTTTGAAGGGAATGTTTTCATAGTTCCATCTTTAAGCATGATGCTTGCCATAAAGACATTTGTAAACACATTTTTTTTCAGGTTAAAAGAGTTTCCTTCTAATTCTAATTTAACAGCTTTTTAAAAACCAAGAATCAATATTGAATTTTATTACATGCTTTTGGGGTTTAAAAATATATTTAGATGGTAAGATAATTTTCTCCCTTAACCTGTTGATACGGCGAATTTTGTTGACAGATTTTTCTTATTGCTTAGTCACTCTTGTCTTCTAAGAAAGGATAAAAAGTTACATATTTGTGAGCATATTTTTAATATGACCTATTGGATTTGATCTGCAAATTTTTTTGAATTGAAGTAAATTTGACATATAATATTATGTTAATTTCAGATGTACAACAGTGACTTGACATTCATATACATTATGAAATTATCACCGCAATAAGACTAATAACCATCTGTCACCACACAAATCTTGGCTATTGTAAATAATGCTGCAATGAACATAGGTGTGCATATATCTTTTTGAATTAGTGTTTTTGTTTTCTTTGGATAAATACCCAGAAGTGGAATTGCTGGATCGTATGGTAGTTCTATTTTTAATGTTTTGAGGAACCTTTATACTGTTTTCCATAATGGCTGCAAGATCTGCAAATGTTTTATCTGGATATTTATGTATATTTCACAAGTAAATTTGGCCAATGGGTTTATTTTCTTATATTCTGATAGTTTCAATAGCAAGGATTTATTGGCCCAATAAAATAAGATGAGTGGCTTTTATTATTTTTTATTTCCCTGGAACAGCTAGTTTAAGATTGGGATTCTCTGACTTTTAAAGTTTTGTCTATTAAGTTTTTTGAACCAGATTCCTCGATAGGGAAATCTATCTATGGGATGCCAGGAGAAAGGGAAAATTTTGGTTACTCCTTCAATTCATTTACTTGGTTATTTGGATATAGATTTTCTATATCTTTTTGAGCCAATTTTGGTAATTTATGTTAAATATTGGTATCCCTGGCTTTCTTTGGTTACTAATTGCCTAGTACATCTTTTTCCTGACTCTTTAGTTTTAAACATCTGTTACTTTACTTCAGTCATGACTCTTGTAAATAAAATGTAACAAGATATTTAAAATACAATCTAAGAATATGTATCTTTTAATCCATGGCTTTTAACCTCCTCCTTTAAACATCCCATCCAAGATATCTGAGACCTTCTGGAGTGTGATTTTTCCCTACTTTATCTCTTTTTAGTAACTTCTGGTAGCTAGAGAGACTTACCAACATCTCGTGGGCAACATCTAACTGCCGTAAAATTCCTCATGGACTGAATCAAGTCCATTCCTTCAATTTTTTAAGATATACTGATTTATTTATTTGTTGATATGTTTGGACTTATTTTTGCCAAGCTATTTTAAATTTTTTTGTATTTATTATAACTTCTCTTTGTTTTTCTTCCCCCTGCCTTTTGTGGAAGTGATCAATTAAAAAAATTCTTTTTAAATTACTCGTAATTTCCTTTACCAGTTTCAGAGTTCCAAATTTGACTTCTATATTTTAACAAGCATACCTAAATTTGTATTTTTTCTGAGCTATTCTAAAGTCAATGAATATCTTTTTCCTCTTCCCAAACTAGACAGATTTTTACTTTTGTCTGAATTCCTCTTTCTACCCCCATCTGTCAAGAACTATGACAGGTCTAGGATTTTACTCTACTTGCAATCTAACAAGTTTGCTTGCCACAGTTTCATGGATGTTAGCAGAAGACACAACCTGGGTCAGAGATGAAGGACTTTATTACTCACAGTAATAGCAACAGCCAGAATACCAGCATTTGCTTTGCCAGTTCCTGTAGCTCTAGTTTCTGAAGAATGACACAGAGAGGACCAGGTGACACCTGTATACAGAGTGGGTTGCATTACAAGAGAGACATTCTGAACTTAGAGAGTGCTAATCTTTTATAATGGGCAGTAAGCTTCAATGCCCTTTGCCCTGGAAGAAGATGCTCTCTACCTTCCAAGGCTCTAAGGAAAACTGCCCTTTGCTCCAGAAGCAATCAGTACCTCTGCTTGCAAGACATGCAGAAATGCAAGAGACCCGTAGAGAATGATCTCCCAACACCATCTTTGTTTGTATAATATTATTTGTTATTTTTAAACACATATAAAAATACTGATATCATAGTTAATATCAAACTAGTGGATTTATTGCTGTATTTTATCAACTTATTTGCTCACATCTCCTTCTGGCATTTTGTTTCTTCCCATTGTACTTATTGTCCTTGCTAAACTATATCTTTAGTGGTGTTATCTGTGGCTAATAAACTTTCCAGATGCTTTATTTTTAATTTTTTTAGATAATTCTTGATTTGTAATTGGACTGGGTATAAAATTCTAGGCTGGTAGTTATTTTCTCTGAGTACCTTTAAGACATGACATTGTTTCTTCTAGTGTCCACTGTTGCTCACTCAAGTCTGCCCTCAGTGTCAGGGTCATTATTTTATAGGTTTGCTTTCTCCTATGTAGCCTTTCAGAATTTCTCTTCCTCTTGGATGATCTGTGGTTTTACCACAGTCTGTTTTGAGGTACAATTTTTTTTTTTTATAACCTCATCCAACCTTGGCATTCAGTGGATTTTTAAATCTGAGAAATCAAGTCTTTTTTATCAGTTCTGCAACATTCTCAGCCATTGTCTATTTTAGTATCATCTCTTCTCCATGTGCTCTACTCTTTACTGCCCAAGTGCCTATTAGAAAAACATCAGTGCTTCATTTTTGTTATTTTTATTTTTTGGTGAGGAAGACTGGCCTTGAGCTAACATCTGTTGCCAATATTCCTCTTTTTGCTTGAGGAAGATTGTCACTGAGCTAACATCTGTCCCAATCTTCCTCTACTTTGTATGTGTGATGCTGCCACAGCATGGCTTGATGAGTGGTGTGTATGTCCATGCCTGGGATCCATACTGGTGAACCCCGGGCTGCTGAAGCAGAGCATGTGAACTTAACCACTATGCCACCAGGCTGACCCATGGTGCTTCTTTATTTATCCTCTTTATTATTTAATTTCTTTTCTACATGTTTCATTTCTTTATATTTGCAATGTTATGGGAGACATCCTTAATTTTATCTTTTAATTCAATTAAATTTATGTTAACCTGTATCAAGTCCACCATTTAGCCCATCTGTTGAGATTTTCATTTTAAATGACAATATTTTATTTCTATAATTTCTATATTTTATAACTATCTGCTTTTGTTTCATAATTGTCTGATTTTATTTCACAGGTGCTAAACTCCCTTTGAAAATTTTAAACATATTTCTTTCAAAATCCTTTTTATATCTATTTTCTCAAACATAGACTTTCTTACTTATATGTCTATCAATTGTCATTTACAGTAATGGAGTGCCTTTTATATCTTCTAATTATTGCTCAGTTTTGCTCTCTGGGGCTTGATAATCATGTGGGTTTCAGCCTCCTACCATTTGTGGGGTGCAAGACTGTTTTCAGGCCTTCTGTTTTTGTCAGTGCCCCAAACCTCATAGCCCATGAATGGTCCCAGCTTTCATGAGTCTTTTTATTTCAACTTTTGCTTACCTCTGTGGAATACTCCTTTGTTTATGGTACCTTGAGTTTTCTCTTTTTGGCTTTGGAGCTCAATTAGATACTTTTTACTTTTAAAAACTATGATTTTATATATTTTGAGAAGAGAGTATATGATGTCAATGTGTGTGTGATCAGCCATATTTATCTTAAATTACTCCCTAAAGAAGATTTGCAATGAAAAAATGTATGATAAAAGAATAATCAGGGCCAGCTCCAGCGGCCTAGTGCTTAGGTTCGGCATGCTCTGCTTTGGTAGCCTGGGTTCTGTTCCCAGGCATGGACCTACACCACTTGTCTGTCAGTGGCCGTGCTGTGGTGGTGGCTCTCATACAAAAAGAGGAAGATTGGCAGTAGATGTTAGCTCAGGATGAATCTTCCTCAGCAAAAAAAAAAAAAAAGGAAAAAAAGAAAAAAAAGAACAATCATTTGAGAGGAAAACTAGTAAATAAAAGAATTTCTAGAAGAGAGGAGACTTAAATGTGTTTGGGGAAAGAAGTAATGTAGGAACCAGAGAGAATAATTTCACAAAAGATAAGAGAGAGAAAGAATCACAGAAGAGACTGAAGGGGATGGTATCACAAGTCTAAGGGGGTATTTTGTTGACCTTGAAAGAGGAGGACGTAGATGTGGCATGAATGAAGCTGGTCAGACACTTCAGGCATCATTTTGGTGAGGTTATGTTAAGCCATGGTCGGATTATCCACTCTTTAGAGGCAGAAATTTGATTATGTCTGGATAGGTTTTTTCCCCCGCATTGGCCTAAAATTCAATTCAATTCTGACACTCTCTACCTGGAAGCATAGGTAGGTAGTGTAGCTATCCCACAAGTTAAGGGCTCAGTCCTGCAAGACTGCTGTCTCACTACCATCACTTCAGACACCAATTGCACGTCTAGGTTGTCACCTGTGCTTCTGACCAACCAGCTTTAAAATAGAGATTTCCATGACCCCCTCTCCAGGTTTGATAATTTGCTAGAATGGCTCACAAAACTCAGGAAAACAGTTTGCTTATTACCAGTTTATTATAAAAGAACACAACTCAGGGACAGCCAGATAAAGAGATGCATATTGCAAAGCACGGAGAAGGGGTGCAGAGCTTTCGTGCTCTCTCCAAGTGCGCCATTCTCCCAGCACCTCCACATGTTCACCAACCCAGAAGTTCTCCAAATCCCTTCCATTAGGATTTTTATGGAGGCTTTACTACATAGGCACGATTGATTAAATCATTGGTCATTGGTGGTTGAACTCATCTCTAGCCCTTCTCCCCGGTCCAGAGGTGAGGGGGTGGGATTGAAGATTCCAACCCTCTAATCACATGATTGGTTCCCCTGGCAACCTTCTCTCCATCCATAGGGGCTATCCAAGAGCTTCCAGCCACCAGTCATCTCATTAGCATACAAAAAGACACTTATCACTTCAGAGATTCAAGAGTTTTAGGAACTGTGTGCCACAAAATGGGGGCAGAGACCAAAGAAATATTTCTTATTATGTCACAATGTCAATATGCACACAGATAACCAACCTCACAGGGGTGAACTCTACCAATTCAACTCGCAAGAAATTGGTATGTAAAGCAGAATACGAGTGTTTTACAATGTCGCGAGGACTGGAATGTTTCTGTGGGCCGATCAGTATATTCTCTCTATCAGAAAGTTTCCTAGGGCGTCAAATTATAAACAGCAGGTTGGTTGATGAGTCCAGAATCAGAATGACAAGAGTTAATTGGATGGCTTTAATGGCTCTTGAGCTATGTAGCACAAAGTACCACGTAGGAATCTACCTGTCAAGAGAACTGGCTAATTCAGACCTGTTGGTCAGGAACAGCTTTATAGTACAGGGTGATACTGCCCTTTCTTATCATTTTGCTATGCTTCATGCTAATTGTTCTTATTTACATGTTAACACGCACAATGACAAACAATTACTACAACAATTAGTACAATTTCTACAGCTGTAATTCCTGCCTCCATTACTTCACGTTGAGAGTTACTCTGTACAGGCCATGTATAAATTCGCTCACCTAATCTTCACAGTTATGTGAAGTATGTACCACTAACCTTATTTTACAGATGAGAAAACTGAGGCATAGAAAAGTCAGATAAATGGAACAAAATTACATTAGAAGTAGTTTAGTTTGAATTTAAAATCTGTCTGTCTCCAAATCTCATGTCTTTATGATCCAGTTGCTTAACTACAAGCCCAGATAGTCTAATGATTGTCTGAGAGGATGCTGAGGGCACTGAGCCTGGATGTTCCTGAAACACTTTAGCCACTCATTACCGAGGGACATTTCTTGTACAGATGGCTAATCTCATTAATTACACTTCTCCCAATTTCATTCTCAGTGTGCAAACTAGAAGTTGTGAGGAGCATCTTGCTGACACCCCCATCTGTCTTCCTGGAATATCTCTGTAAGCAAAAGAGACTCTACTTCTGAAACAGGAGTCAGGAGGGAAGGAAATGGGATGGGTGTAATAGTGAGAAATTGGGAGAGTACAAGAGGGAAGGCAAAGAAGTTTATATGTAGTGATTTATGTGTTCTCAGTGAAGTGGTAGCTAAGGTCATCCTTTTGCTCTGAAGGTGAAAATTCCATTTTTAAGGTCAGCACCTTTAGCGGTGTTGATGACGTTTAGACTAGGCAATATTGGGGAAAGAATAGGAAATAAACTACAGGTGAGAATAACTTTGTAGAGATCCAAGAAGCAGAGCCATAAAATCTACTTGAGTAATACTCAGCTGCTGAGGAAGTTGAGAGCTAGTCAGTGAGTTTATGTACACAGAGATGTCCAATATGCATGGTTTTCTCTTCTTGGATTCAAAGCAGAGATCTGGACTGGAGTTATGGATCTGAGAGTCATCAGCTTGACCAGTACTTGATGCTTGAAGTAAATGTAATGAATGGGGTGGTCCAGCCAGAGTGTGAAGACCAACAATGCAACAAGGGAGAGTGGAATCTTGGAGATGAGGTAAGGGCTGGGCAGGGAAAGAGTAGCCCACGGTGGAGACCAAGAAGGAGCCATGAGAAGGATGGAGGAAACCCACCAATGGAAAGACAAGGAAATCAGTGTTTAAGATGGTATACATAGTCTGTGTATGTCTGATTCATCATCCTATGCACTTTTTAAACAGTACACACACATAGTAAATACTGGATGAAATAAATAAATCAATGATTTTATTTTCTGCCTGCAAGATACTTGAGAGGCAGTTGAATAACATGTAAAGTACACTTATTTTTACAGCTGGGAGCTCTACACTTGGTCTCAGTTATTAGATATTCTGTGTGACTTTGACCTAGTTTCTCTGAGCATCAATGTTTATGAAAGTTTTTTATATACAGAATGGCACTATTTGAAACGGGATTTCTTTTTTTTAAAGTAAGAAGCTTAACTATTTATATTTAAATTTTATTATTTAAAAATTTATAATTCATGTAGAAAGATTTTTTAAACTGTGATTTCATGGGCTAATGTGGTATAAATAAGATGACAGTGGAACTAATTTCTCTCTTGAAACCCTAACGAGGTTTTACGTCAATAAAAGTTTAATTCATATATAAATTATATTTGAGAGAATATTTTATTCTTTATTATCAGGGATATTTCTTTTTGAATTTCTGTCCATTTTTGTTCTACATATTTTAAGGCAATGTTATAGGGTGCATTCAGGATCATCTTCCTGGGGAATTGTCCCTATGTTATTAAAAGTGATGATTTACTTGTATCTCTGACATGGCTTTGCCTGATATTAATATTGTAATAGTAACTTTTGTTCCTTTAGTATTGTTTATCTTTTCCTTTTTATCAAATGTAAGTTTCTGTGTATTTCTGTATTAAGTGTGTTATGTGTAAACAGCAGATAACTTTTTTTTTTTAATTCTATCTTAGAATCTTTGTTTTTTTTATGGTTGAGATTAATCCATTTATGTTTCTTGTGATCACTGATTTGGATTCATTTTGACTACCTTAGTTTCTCTCTTCTATTTACCATGGGTTTTTTGTTGTTGTTTTTGCATCTCTGTTTTTGTTTGAAAACTTACTTTTGAATAATTACTTAGCTTTTACAAAAATACAGACTGACAGATATTTTCCCATTGTTTTGTAGTTTTTATTTTTGCTGATGTAAAATCTGTAATCCTAATTGTCGTTCCTTTATAGGTGATCTCTGTTTCTCCAAGTTACTTTTAAGATTTTCTTTTTGATTTGGTATTCTGAAATTTAATTCTAATGTGCCTTGGTGCAAATTTACTTTTTTATTAAAAAAAAAGATTTACTATATTTGCTTAAATTGAGGACTGATCTTCTGTTCTGAAAAGTTCTCCACTATTATTTTTAAATTTCTGTGTTGCCACTATCTTCTCTATTATCCTTTCTGACACTCCTATTGGAAGTATGTTGGACTTTCTCAATTTACTCTCCATGTTTTAACTTTGTATTCATATGTTCTACTTTTTGTTGTTCTGGGTAATTTTTTCCAAACTATTTTCCAGTTCACTTGTCTTCTTTTTGGCTATATTTATGCACTGTTTTACCCATTTCTTGAATTTTAGATTTTAGTAGTAATGTTTTTTTCATTTCTATAAATATGTTTACATCTTTTTCTAATCATCCTTTTTAAATAGTATCATTAATTTTATTAGTGCTTTATTTCACATTCTTATTTTTTTAGGTATTTAAATATACTTATTTTGGAGTCTTTTTATACTATTTCAATATACCATTAATTAGCATGCTAATTATCCTCTTGTATTTGCCAACTTTCTCATAGTGATCTATTTCCTTGTGTGGTTTATAATTTCTTAAAATTAGCTCACCTTCACAATTATTTATCTGTGGGGGTCGTATGTGATCCGGGTTCTTTACAAAGTGATGTCTTTTGTTGTTTGTCTGTTTACTTCTGTGAGAAATACTAGGTTCCACTGATCTAGGATTAGTTTTTTTTTTTTTTTTAATTCACTTCCCAAAGTGAGTGTCCTGTGCCAATTGGGTAGTACACATTTAGATTTTACACCTAATCTTGGGAAATTTAACTTTTCCCTATCCAATATTTTGAACAGACTACAGACTTCCTTGCTACTTCCAGAATCCTTTTCATGAAACACATGGCTATTTTAGAGTCCTGGCTTTATTAAACTGTTTTATTTCCATGTCTCATGTTGCTGGATAAGTGTTGAAAACCTAACCTTTTGCTGTGAAGATCTATATTGGAATCTGATGGTTTTTTTTCCTCTCATAGGCAGAGGTATCTCTTATATTTGCTCTTTCATTTATGAACCTAGCATTTCCTTTAAGATTAGTTTTGTATTTTAAAAATGTTATATTTACCAGGCATTTCTATATATATTTGGGGTGGAGGTACTATCTGTAACAACTGAGCCAGTCATATTTTCAAAAGAGACAATATGTATTAGGCTAATTTTAATTAATATATATCTTTGAAAAAATAGATCCATTTTAAATATTTTACAGTTTAGTCCTTTTATTTAGGTAATTTATTATTTCCTGCCCAATTGTTCTGAAATATAATGTAGTTTAAAATATTTGGAGTGGGTTTCAGGAGTATAACATGGCTTTATTTTAATGGAAAAATTTCAACCTTGATAGAATATGTTATAAAACTTGCATTAAACTATATACTTTAGCTCCGAATGCCAGAGAAAGTAACGCAATTATTCTGCTGTTGTTTTTCAGACCTTATCTCATTGGGCCTTACTGGGAATTTGACACCGGTACTTACTCCCTTTTCTTTTTTGTATGGTAGTCCCCCCGCCTTAGCCACAGTTTCAGTTACTTGCAGTCAGTTGTGGTCCAAAAATATTAAATGGAAAATTCCAGAAATAGACAATTCATAAGTTTTAAATTGCATGCCATTCTGTTGGCATGATGAAATCTCACTCCGTCCCACCTGGGACATGAATTATCCCTTTGTCCAGTGTATCCACACTGTATACGCTACCCATTTGTTAGTCCCTTAGTAGCCATCTCGGTTATCAGATCAACTGTTGAGGTATCTCAGTGCTCATGTTCAAGTAACCCCTATTTTACTTAATAATGGCCTCAAAGTGCAAGAGTAATGATGTTGACAACTCAGATATGCCAAAGAGAAGCCATAAAGTGCTTCCTTTAAGTGAAAAGGTGCAAGTTCTCGACTTTACAAGGAAAACAAAAAACAATTGTATGCTGAGGTTGCTAAGATCTATGGTAAGAATGAATCTTCTATCCGTGAAATTGTGAAGAAGGAAAAAGAAATTCGCACTAGTTTTGCTGTTGCACCTCAAATATGTATGCACAGGAAAAAACATAATATATATAGAGTTTGGTACCATCCATGGTTTTAGGCATCCACTGGGGGTCTTGGAACATATCCCCCCCTGGATAAGGGGAGAATATTGTACTCATTAACACCAAATGATAATATTTCTTGGTTTCATCCTGCTGTTTCTCACCTATCTGACTCTTGCTGTCTCTTCTTATTGGACATTTGTCCAGCCTTTCCTTCCTGAACACCTCTACCTACCTCCTGCCCCACACTCACCCTGCTGTGTGAAGCTGCTCCTCTGGCGGTCAGCAGAAACAGCACAGGTGTTTTCTCCTTGGAGAGTGAATGAATGAATGGAGGATGTGGACATGAGCAGTTGGGGTTCCCCAAAAAGATATGTTGAAATCTTAACTCTCAGTATCTGTGAATGTGACCTTATTTGGAAATAAGTTCTTTGTGGATGTAATCAAGTTAAGATGACGTCATTAGGGTGGCCCCTAATCCAATATGACTGTTGTCCTTATAAGAAGAGGAAAACACCATGTGAGGTCAAAGACACACAGGGAGAAAGTCGTGATGGCAGAGGCAGAGGCTGGAATGATGCAGCTGCAAGGCAAGGAATGCTAGGGATTGATGGCTTCATCCAGAATCTAGAAAAAAGCAAGTAAGGATTCTCCCCTACAGTTTTAGAGGGAACATGGCCCTGCCAACACCTTGATTCAGGCTTCTGGCCTCCAGAGCTGTGAGACGATTAATTTCTATTGTTTTAAGACACTGAGTTTGCAGTACTTTGTTACAGCAGCCCTAGGACACTAATACAGGTTCCTTTAAGCAGAGCCTTCATTTTCGGCATTAACGAGCATTGAAATCTCTTAAGCCTTTGCACACGGTGAGGATCACAAAATCTTGTTCTCAGACTTGAAAACCATTTATGATGAGTAAGTATCAGCTTCCATTTTTGTTCTTTTTTCTCTCATAACTGGTCGTCTTTTCTTACGCTGCATCAGAGAATCTTCTCGTTCCATGAGTAAATGAGACGGCCATCCTTTCCTCACTCAGTCCAGATCACTGCTGAGGAGTTACTTTGGGCTGCTGCCCCGTCTACCCCACTGTAGCGTCTCTCTACCACCCAGCCCTGGAGTTCAGCAGAAAATAAAATGCTGAGATGGTTCAAAGAGATGCAGCAGGTTTTTATGTCATTCTTGTTAAGTTTTCCTTTAAGATATTTTCCCCCGCTTATCTGTCTATGCTAATTCCATGATGAGTCAAACAACAGCAACCACCTTCAATTTCCTTGGAGTCCAACGCCCCTATACTTTAAAGAAAGTGTGTGCTGACCCCTTTGAAACTCTCTTTGTAGATCACAGCTCTACCACAGCATCCCATTACCCTCTGGTAGACGTGACCCCTTATGGATTGCTTTAAAATGACTTGGAGTAGGAGAAGAGTGGAATCATCCTGCTCTTTTTATAAAGGTCAGACTGACTGACTGCCTCTAACGATCACACGTATTTCACTTAGTCATTTTTTCCAAGCAAGTATGAATATATTTCTGATTTCTTTTTTTTCTCCAGTGACCTGCGTCCTCCCACTTACCACCTTTTCTTCTTAGAGTTTTCTCCTTGCTGCCTCACCCACTACCTACCTCCAATCAATTTCCAAAAGAAAGCTTTGCATAAAGGATGTGCCTATTAATAATAAGGATTGTACATGATGGAAAGGTATGGCAGGAAATGAAAGCTGTTTGTCAAATGTGAGTCTTTTGGGAGTGCGGCGTGCCAAGAGGGAAGACTAAGTGCCCTTATATCTCAGAGCGTCCTCTCTGCCTTCACTTCAACGCTGACCTCGTCACTTAATGCCTTGACATGGGCTTGGGTCCTCAGGAGGAAAAAGTTACAGAGTCAGGTTCCCGTATTTCTCACATCCTCTTCCAGTACAACTTGTTCGCATTATCCTTTTTGAGAAGCTCGTACTTAGCCCTTTCATTCCGTTCACAAGGTGCAAAATGAATAAATTTACAAGGTCCTCCTCTTCCACATGGGGTCAAATCCTGACTTTATTGGTTGTAAGCAAGTTTAACTACTTTGAGCTGCAATCAATGTCTTATCTGTAAAGTAGGAATAATAATACCTACCTTGCTGAGTTGGTGTAAGGATTGAACGGCATAATGTTCATTCTCGGCCTTGAACAAGCACTCACTAGACCAGGTCCCTGGTTATTGTCAGTGATGATGTTGATAACACTTGGCTCCACACTCATTTCCAGTCGGCTGTCAACATTCTGCTTTACAACGGGTTCTGGTGTAGATCCATCAGGAGACAGAAATCCTTGTCTACCTATCAGTAATTGTGCTGTTGCTTTCTGAGATTTCTTAGACGCCATCCACCTTTAAGAGACAGTGTTGAAAGAGTGGAAGGCAGCCGGTTCCTTTTGTCTTGCATGTGTCTGGGAGCCCTTGTTGACATGCGGTGCAAAGACTGCCTTGGCAGGCAGAAAGGAATGAGGCTGAGGTTGGGATGGAGGGCAATGAGGCTGTAGCCATGAGAGGGCCTTGCTGAGGAGCCTCGGGAGTGCACAGCACAAAGGCGTGGGTAGCAACGCTTTGGTGCCAGATCTCCGATTTCTTACATGTTTATCAATGCATCTTTCCCCCGACGCTTCTGTGAAGTCAATATTGCACTAATTTTACAGATGGAGACCCAAGGTGCTGTCTCCTAGGTCATCCAGCCAGCTAATGGGAGGGAAAAGGTAATACCCAAGGAGTTTCTTCCATCTTTCCACATAAGGCCAAATGCAAATGGTCCTTAAATAAATGACTCTTTTCTATGTAGCTCCAAAATGAATTTAAAATTAAGTAGAAATGAATAAGCTTTCCATTTACACTGAAATGGGGGAAATTTCTGTCCTTTTAAATTGAAAATTTAGAAAATGATAAAGAGTTGTGTAATACGTTTTACGTGTTACTTGTCAGTGGGTGAGGAAAAATGCCGATTAAATAAATTAGTTTGAATGACCTATAGTTTATCATCTTCTAATTTTTTTTTCTTTTCTTACCTTTCCCTTTTCTACCTCTCTTAGCAGGCTTTTATGGAGTTCGTGACTTTCTCTCACCCCTTTAATAATACTGTTTTTGAAATAAATAGCAGGAGAAAGCAAGTAGGAATTTCCTTTACAGAGGTAATTTTCTTTCTGCCTCTTTAATCAGCGGTTTGCTAACTTCACCTTGTCATGGGAAAAAGGTGAAGTAAGTCTTTATAAAATATGTCATTGATTTTACCTAACTCTAAAAGTGAACATGAAAAATTATAGAACCCTTAAATGTCTTGGGCTTGGAGAAATTCCAGGGAAAAATTCATAAGGAACGAAGGATATATTTAATCCCCTATTTTTACTGTCTCTCTTTAGTTCACCGTGGTCAAAAGAGCACGCAGTTTGGAGACAACATAATCGCCCTGAATTCCAGAGCCGCCCCTTGCCAGCTCTGAGAAATTGAGAGTTATTTAATTTCTTGAAACTTCAGTTTCTTGCCCCAAATACTTAGTTGTAACTTCTATCTCATTGGCTTATTATGAGGAACAAGTGAGATAACGTATAGTAAAACTTTGTAGATTGCATACTGTGATGGTCAATTTTATGTGTCAACCAGACTAGGCCACCGTACCCAGATATTTGGTCAAACATTATTCTAGAAGTTTCTGTGAAGGTATTTTTTGGGTGAGAGTAACATTTAAATCTCTAGACTTTGAGTAAAGTATATTACCCTCCATAATATGGGTGGGTCTTGTCCAATCAGTTGAAGACCTTAATAGACAAAGACTGACTTCTCTGGAAGAAAAGGGTATTTTGCTAGTAGACTAACTTCAGATTTGAAATGCAGGTTTTCCTGAGTCTCCAGCCTGCTGGCCCACTCTGCAGATTTTGGACTTGCTAGCCTCCACAATCCCATGAGCCAATTCCTTAAAATAAATCTCTCTCCATACATATATATACATACATCTTGTTGGTTCTGTTTCTCTGGCACCCTGACTAATACACATACCATTATACAAAAGAGAAAATATTTTTGATATTTTTCCTCTTTTTTTCATTAAAATATTTAATTTTCTTTCATTTCTTATTTTCTTTTTCTGGAAAGGGTATAACTCCTTTGATAAAGAAATATTCTTTTTATTTACTTTTCTTTTATTATTTTGTCAACTTTATTGATTCACATACAATAAAATTCACCAATTTTGTGTGCAATGAGATAGATTTTGACAATTTTATACAGTTGCACAACCCACCAACATCATTATATAGGACATTTCTATCACACCAAAATTTCCAGCTGTCCTCTTGCAGTCAATTCCCTTCCCCCTTCTGGCCCCAGACAAACACTGATTTGCTTAGTATCATTATAATTTTGCTTTATCTAGAATTTAATAAAAAATGAATTCATAGAGTGCATAGTCTTTGTATTACTTAATGTAATACTTTTGAGAATCATCCATATTGTTGCATGAATCCGTACCTTGTTTTTTTTTTTTTAATTGCTGAGTAGTATTCTATTATAGAAGAAGAATCACATTTTGTTTACCCATGAATCAGTTGATGGAT